TAGTGCATGCCTTTAATCCAGCACTTGGGAGGCAAAGACAGATGCAAGCAGATCTCTGTGAGTTTGAAGCCAGCCTGGTCTACAGAGTGAGTTCCAGGACAGGCTCCAATGCTACACAAAGATACCCTGTCTTGAAAACACAATGTATATATAATACACACACACACACACACACACACACACACACACATATATATATATATATAATGTATATATATTCACTGATTTTCCCCCTTCACTAACTGATGAAATCTGCTAGGCAGAACTGTCACCCCTCTGAACTTGTCTCCTGAAGCTCTAGAGGGAAATAATAAGTCAGACAAGACTGAAGCAGAGTGAGCAGACGTGGGTTTGGCAGTGAGTGGTTCTGCTTCTCGACACTGACTTGTGGACCACGTCTGCCAACTCCCCTCCTCTCAATTTGCATTCCATCCCTCCATGCAAATCCAGGAGGTCTGCACCCACATCGCCCCTTATTTTGTGGCTTTTTCTTTACAGTGCAACATCCTTGCACCGCTAACTTAATTATAAAGAATACTATTTGATACTGTGTCACCGATCTCTAGACAGCAGCACATGTGGTATTTTTGCATTTATTTTTTATTTTTATTCATTCTTTTTCATCTAGTACATCCTGACCATAGCCTAGCTTTTCATTAGAGGCTATTCTACATAATTTCATGAAGAGATAACAGTTTTCCTTCCTTGCCCGCCTAGTTTCCCAAAAGTCAATATGAAGAAAACTAAATTACATGCTAACAAGGAACTAACAACTTCCTCATTTTTAAAAACTTCTCCTTGAGGACAGAAATGAAGAAAAAGGAGCCACAATTCCTTTCTCTCCCCTCTCACTTACAGAAACAGGGGTAAAGTAAGCAATGCATTTACTTTAAGAAGTGCACGCAGTCAATCAATTCACAGAGCTTCTCCGTTTTCTTGTCCCACACCTCCACCACGGGGCTGTTCTTCTTGGCAATAAAGAGAGCCGCGTCCACTGCCACCGCTATGATGTTAGAATCGCTGAAAGCTGCGTACGAAAAGCTAGGGGGAGAAAGGCGAAAAGTATACAGAGGTTAGCACTGTTTTCAAAATCAAACAGCACTGCTGTGGGTATCTCTTGCCCTCCCTTAGCCATTTGGATGGCTTTGCTCTTCGGCTAACTGACGCTGTCTGTACTTGATTGCAGAATAAAGATGACAACTCACGTTCATTTCTGGGCTGACTTTGAAGTTTAGGTCTATCTGACTCTGTATGGAATTTTATGCTATCTCATAAATTCTAAAGGAAATATAGTCTCTGTAAATTTTAGACATTTCTTTTTTTATTATTTTTATTTTTAAATTTTATTTTCATCCCAACCGCAGTTCTCCCTCCCACTCTTCCCCCCACCCACCGCCTCGCCTAGAGAAATGGCTCGGAAGTTAAGAGCACTGACTGCTCTTCCAGAGGTCCTGAGTTCAATTCCCAACATGGTGGTTCACGACCATCTATAACAAAATCTGATGCCCTCTTCTGGTGTATAGATAATTTTACACATTTTAGCATAATCCTTGTTGCCATGTGTGCTGGGAAAAATAATAATTAGCCATTTGTAGATAGAATTAAAAAGACATGGAAATAAATTATAAGTAGCAATGGCTCCAAAACTAAAAGAAGCCTTTAGACTTATAAACGTAAGTCAATCAAATACGTAGAAAAACCTTCCAGATAGATTCAAGTGAATACAATATTTACCGAGCTTTAAGGTTCAGAAATTTGCTACTTATCCTCTTTGAAAATAGCAAGCAAATTCAAATATTTGTCTTGTAACCATAGACATTGGCGTCACATATAGCTTACAAACAGACTGGGGAACTGCAGGCTCCATCTGCGTGGCAAGATCCACGCTCATTTTTGAGCTTTCACCTAAATGTCAGCTTCTCTGGAACTGGTCCCTGACCTCGGGGAAAGCACAGGCCAGCTGTTTCCTTTCCCGCTACCAACATAACTGGTTCTCTGCAGTCTCGATTAAGGTCTTACTTAGCGTGTCTCTCACACTAGACTTTCACCACCACGTCCTATACACCCACAGCAGCACAGCGTATTCACAAACAGCCTAGTGTCTAAACTGTGCTAGGCCATTTGTTATGTGAGTGGGCAGAAGGAGAAAACAACAAAGAGTCAACTATCAGGGTAAAGGGACATCTGGGGAAAAGGGGAAACACTTCCAGTTTAAAACCAACTTGAGAGGACTATATGAAAATGTCATGGGAATTTAACAATCATCATTATTTCTTATAAAAGGCAAGGTTTTTTTCTTTTTCCTATTTTCCAGTACTTTATCGTAGATGAAGGTGTCATCTCCTGTCAGAGAGCCATTGTTTTCAGTGGCTTTGCTGTGGTGTTTGCTGTATCTAATGAAAATAGTTCCATCAGCATGAACATTTACACAGGGTGTTAGCAGTAGAAAGCTGTTTTGTATGGCATCTTGTTTGATCCTCAACCATAAATTTACAGACCCACAGGCATAATCTAGTGATAGAGAAGCTGCCTAGCATTCACAAGGCCCCATGTTCTGTCCTAAAATAAAAATGAATTTATAAAAATGGATAAATCTCAATGCCTAGAAATACAAAACCAAAGCCTTGCAAATGGTAAATGATTTACCTCCGGCCACTTGATGGGCACGCTGCAGAATCAAAACATAAAAGAAGTCCCATAGGCCCTAAAAAGTAGACATCTTTCGGTACTAAATATGCCTTTCAGTCAACGAAGGCAGCACTAGCTAAAAAGGTCCTGACGAGGAGGTTGTCTCTGACCTCTGTGTAGGGGGCAGAGGCCAGCACAGCAGTCAATACTCTTTTGATATGGAAACTGTGTACCTGTGCTCATAATGGTGATTCTCCCTGGGAAAGTGAAGCCCTGGGGGAGGCTTAACTTCATGGGTGCTTCCCAGTAAAACAACCCCACAAGGTACCTGGGAGAGGATTATCATCATGGGTGTTTCTCAGTATGGCATCCAGACAAAGTACCTAGGGGAGGCTTATCTCCCTGGGTGTTTTCCAATACGTAAAGCATCCATACAAGACACCCATGATGGCATCAAATGCCTTATAAACACTTGCATGCCTCTAATTCTAAAACATTTACAGATTGCGAAGATTTATAAAAGTAAAAATTAAAGAAAAATGAGTCTATCCAAATGTAATATACTGTAGTACATCTTAACACTGATTGTATTTTGGAATCATCTCATATCTTTACAAAAGAAGGCATTGACAATGAAGTCAGAATTGTCTTAGTTGTCCTGATTTCATAGATACAAAGCATGAGACTGACTTAGCTGCATAGCAGGTCATGGGGGATCACTGTGAACTATGGGATTAAGATATTACATTAAAAACAATAGGGTAAACGCTGTGAAGAAAAATGCCAGGAGCAGTGAAGCTCACATAGAAGACAGCTAACTACCTGTGAAGAAGCAGGGTTGTCACATAGGAGTAGCATTTGAATTGAAGCAGACAGAACAAGAGCTCAGCAGGTATGCAGATGGAGATCAAACATGTGAACAGGCTCAAATGTGCCGGGAAGTTTGTCATCGAGAATGGAAGTGAATTCCCTTTCATCAAAGCGCACAGGCAGTTGTAGATGGTGAATCCGGAGAGCTGAGCTAAACTAAACTATGAATAGGGCACAGTGGGAAGCCTCTGAATACTTTTCAGCAGGAGAACCTGGCTTCTATTTGCAAGGGTTTTGTTTCCAATGTAGGGACAGATCAGAGAACAAAGTCTGGCCAGAAGCTGAGAACTGGATAGAAACCTGCGACTGTTAACATGGCCCTAGACATCCTGGGCCATGATCGCAACAGAGAAGCTCCAGGGTGTGTGGGACAACTGGGAAAGCCGAGTCACCATGAGAGTAAAGGACAATGTTATCACGAGTTATCCCCAGTTTCGATACTAAAAACCAGACAGACACACAAAATTTAGCAAATCATTTGAAGGAAAGATGTGTGAGCAAATGCTGATAGCTATCATAATCACAGCTAATGTATCTGAGAGCTTACCAGGTACTAAGTATTACATTAACATCCTTACACTAATTTTGTTTAACCTTCCAAACATCCCTTTGGGATGAAGAATTGGACAGTATTCAAGTAGGAGTGAAATAGATACTGATGTTATTATTTCAGTTAACAAAACTGATAGGTTATTATTTAAATAACTGCAGAACCAATTTCTGACTTGCACTTTGTACTTTTGCCTCATCCAACCCTACCTATCCTCTTACTGAGGAAAACCATAAACAAAACATAGATTTGGTTAAAATCCAAAGTAAAATGGAAACTATTCAATGGATCCTGCTGGACAGCTCAGGGTACTCAGCTGCAGACTGGCGTACCAAAGAACCCAACCGTACCTTAAAGTTCAGTGTGTAGAGGAAGTGCCCATGCCCTTCCCCAACCCAAGGTGAACCGTGGATGGGCTCAGTCTTGTGTAGGCTCCTATGAGGTTGTGACTGCATTGCACTGTCTGGTCCTTGCTCAGAGACCAGCATCTCATCGTCCTTCTGCCTACCTTCCAGGATTTTACATCCTTTCTACCACTGTTCAGCTATGACCCCTGAGTGTAAATGTCTCATTTAGGACTCAGAACTCGACCATCACTTATTCTCCAAATCCCGTGGTCACACAGATGTTCCTGGTTAAACTCTGTGGGTCTCAAATATATACATATGTGTGTCTCAAATACATACATATATGTATATATGTATATATCTCACATATATAGATATATACATATATATATGAAGGGAGGGAAATTACTATTTGATAGGGGAATTAATAGAGGTGAGAGGGAAAAAGTATGAGGTGACAGTAACCAGAATGTACTTTACACATATATAAAACAGATGAAAAACATAAAAAATTTAAAAATATACTAGTTCAAAGTTTATATATTTTTATTCTTGCTTGACATTGGTGTCACTAACTTGGTCATAATTTTGATAAAGAATTATTATTATCTAGATATTATTATCCTTAAAATATAAGTTTTCTATAATTGACACAAAATAAGTATAATTAACTATATAAAATCCACAGCTTTAGTTAAATAGACATTGATTGGCTCCTAATTTCAATTTTTTAATTTGACAATAATTAATATAGTAATGCTACTGTAATAACTAGAATTTGATAAATTTTCTACCAAGAATGTTTCATCTTATAATAGACAAATACTGCATTTCAAATAATATTTAGCATCAATGTGGTCTATGAGTGGTTTTATTAATATGATTCTAAAGAAAAAAAAACATCATGACTAAATGGCAAATTGGTTGAACAGAATAGACATAACTTACAGCTGGTTGGTTCTTGTCTCTATGAGTTTCTGAAAGGTGAAATCACTGGAAAATGAGAAGATCTTTGTGCCACACCCTCCCCAGGTGATGTGCCTTTCGGATGAGTTCATGGACACACTCAAGCACATTAGGGGCGTACTGACATCGCCTATGCGTAGTGTCTTCAAGGGGGCAGCTCCTTTACACTGCAGAGAGTAAGAGAGCAGACTCAGTGTGCGGTGTGATGCTGGGTAACTTTTCACTGTACAGAAGTGCTTTCCCTTTTAAATGATTAGGGATGTTAAAATTAGAATTCAGGCAGATGCAGAGACACACAGCTAAGCACTGGGCTAAGCTCCCAGGGTTCAGTTGAAGGGAGGAGGAAGGTATTCTATGAGCAAAGGGATCGAGATCATGATGGGGGGAAATCCACAGAGACAGCTGACCCAAGTTAGTGGGAGCTCATGGACTTTGGACTGACTTAGCTGGAGAACCTGCATAGGTCCGAACTAGTCACTCTAATGTAGGTGACAGTTGTGTGGCTTGGGCAGTCTGTGGGGCCACTGGCAATGGGACCAGGATTTATCCCTAGTTCATGAACTTGCATTTTGGAGTTCATGAACTGTGCATTCCCTGTGGAAGGATACCTTACTCATCCCAGGAGGGAGGGGCTTGGTCCTAGCTCAACTTGATATGTCAGACATTGTTGACTCTCCAGGGGAGGCCTTACCTTTTCTGAGGAGTGACTGGGGAATTGGGTGGGGGAGGAAGGTAAGGGAGGAGTAGGAAAGGAGGGGAGGGAGGGGAAACTGTGGTTGGTATTCACATGTAAAATTAAAAAGAAACTTTAAAATAAACAATTTAAAATATAAATTCAGACACATTTTTCAAAGTTTCTACCAAGACAGAGTTCAGATAAACTTCATTCAAATTGTGATCCTCCTGGTCACCCTCTTCCCTAGGCAAAGACTGTTCAGGAAACAGCCGGTTCACCAGACAGGCAACTGTTTTTCATTAGATCAGTGGTTCTCAGCCTTACTAATGCTGTGACATTGTAATGGAGTTCCTCATGGTATGGTGACCCCCCAACCATAAAATTACTTCATCGCTACTTCATAACTTTAATTTTGCTACTGCTATGAATCATAATTTAGATATCTGATGTATGACCCTAAAGGTTTCACAGCCCACAGGTTGAGAACCACTGCTTTAGATACTGAAACATAGGTGCAGAGAGGTAGAAGCTGACTGCATAGATGGAACCATAATGAACTGCTGAAGGAATAGATTCTGTGATGACTAAATGAGTCTCAGGAAGAAGAGGTTGAGTGACGTCTTCAGTGTTGCGGAAAAAGTGGTTGGTATACCTGATGTTTTTCATGTGGGAGGAGGAGCAGGGAGCGGGAGGGAGGGGAGTCAAGCTGGGGAATGGACCCAAGGCATCCTGAATGGACATTGTGTTCTCTACAGAGCATCGCCTCCAGTTGCCACCCAGCAAGTCAAACTTCAATGTCTGTTTTTTTTTTTTTTTCCTGGAATGCTTTGTATAAGAGAGATCTACTTCATGCAATTCTACTTCATACAAATTGAATTATCTCCACTCCTTTTGTTTCAAAAAAGATTTTGTTTCTTGTTACCTTCAGTTCATGCCTGTAAATCATTTACTCGAGCAGCAAGTTGTTGTTTTTAAGGATCTAATATATGCTAAAATGCATGGATCAATACATAGATAACAGGTGGAATGTATGATATTGGTTATCAGGGATCTGATAATTACATAGAGGAGAAACACATAAAACCAAGCCTTTAAAAATACACTCTAATATAAAATGTATTCAACATTTACCTTAATGGTGTTATCTTCAAATATCACTAGATTACCATCAGCGGTTCCCACCAAAAGAAAATTACTTTGCTTGCTGGAATGAGAAAAGTTGAACTTGTTACAACTAACATTGTTTTGAGTACCCTGACTTTAAATTCTTCCATCTTGACTAAACTTGAGATGGGTCCCCTTCAGCCTCTGCTCCTTGAAGCAGTGATTATTTGATCATTACAATACACAGGCCATCTCTGCTTTTTTTCAAGCAGAAATTCCTGCCCTGCCTTGGGTCAGTTTGTCAGCATCAGAAAGCCTTTTCCAATGACCAAGGAGCCCTCCTCTTAACATGCAATAAAAATAGAGATGTGTGTGCATTTGCCAGTCTCCAGGAGAGTGTAGGGACCTACTTTCAGTAAGGAATATTAGCAAAGACAGATGATGAGCTCATAAGAGCATCTTGCCACACCCTACAATATCCTTCAATGTTTTCCACAACTATAACCCATCCCTGAGCCTAAAGCTCTTCCACCTTTGCTCCACGTGAACTGAGTTTGATATCTTTCTCCTACTATGATAGCTTCATTAAAGAAAAGTCTTCTTTGCCTTTTGAACTCAACCCAACGAAATTTTTCTTTAACACTATTCAAATTATTTCAACTCCAAAATTCACTGTGCAGCTCACACTTCAGTCCCCCAAACTCCATATTTTTCATTATTTTTTCTAGTGTTGACTTAAACAAAAGAAACATCAAATATAAAGACTCCTGGAAATTAAATCCTGTTCTCTATAATACAGCTCCCAATGAATACTTATGCATATATATTCTGCCATTTAGGTATATCGATTATGGTCTGTTCACAGCTCACTGGTGGAGCAATTGCCTAAGCACTTAAATCTTTGGGACATGATCCCTATAAAGGACAAAAAAAAAACTAAGTGATTTGTAAGCTATATTAACAGCTTACAAGTATATTAAATTTACTGAAGTTCCATTTCAGCATGGGGAGTGTGGGGCACACAGGCACCATGGTGTAGGTATGGAAGGCAAAGGAAAACTTGCAGAACTCAGTTCTCTCCTTCCACCATGTAGATCCCAGGTAGTGAACGCACAACTTCTGAGCTGACAGTGATTATTAAACTGTATACATACAATTTTAGCGTTTATAAACACTTTAGATTATTTTGCAAAGCAGTGGTTAGATTACTGCTGTTTCAATGTTGCCCATACTAAGTTGGTGCTATATTGATGTCTGCATTCGAGGAAAAAAAATTGAAATTCAGTTTTGAAGAAACACCGGCACACATACCCAGACAGGCTGAGCAGAGGGGAAGTAATGGGGTAGCCACAGCTGAGCATGAAAAATACTTGATGCATTTTTACCTGCCTCAGCTAAATCTGTATGTAGAAAAATCACCATTATCATCCAGGTCCCTCAGGATTCTCAAAAAGATAAGCAAGTCAATGGCAAGCAGCTTAAGTCAAGCAGTCATTGCAGGTGCAATCATTTTGCCAATGATTAAAGCACCTGACAATATAATTTCCTTCAATTAATTGACAACCGTACCTCTGCTTGGCGAAGGAATTGCAATACAAGCAAGTAACAGAGTCAGTCATCTTTTCAAGGGTGTGCCTCTTTGTCTCGTCTTCAGCATTGATGACCAGGAGATCCCCAGACTGTGTGCCGCACACCACCCAGCTCTCTTTCTCAGCAGGGAGATGCACCAAAGCCAGACACAATATTCTACTATCAGTAACTTCCTGTTAAGAAAAGAAAGTAAAATCAAGGCGAGGTGGCCTTACTTTAAGTTACCAGATCTTATATAGAATGAAAATATCCTGTAATTTATGTACTTAAATCTGGTTACCCTTGTGCACTTACTTTTATAATCAATGACTATTTTATTTACTTTTTAACAATAGTTAATATATCTAGTAAAGATTTTTCCTACCTCGTTGCAAAATGCATCTGAATCTGAAATTAAAAACTGAAAATATTTTTTTCCAAAACAATTCTTATTTCATCAAGATCAAATGAAAAGATTTTTTAACCTTGAGCATAATTTTTAGCAAACTATTTCAAGGCAATAGTCAAAATATCAAGTTACTTTTTAACTCTATAAATTTATCTATTTTGTAAGAGTCTTTTGCTCATTCCTCTACTACTGGGTGTGTTGACTGCCAACAGACCCAAGAAAGTGTGATTACACAGCCCCACTTCTAAGCAGACAGTTGTGAATGCCCAACTGACATAGGAGAACGAATGTCTCATCTTACATGTAGATACCATGGGACTGTTTAGTGACTAGTGTGTAGCACTTGATGATCTTATGACCTCTGTTGTGTAGACAGATACCCAAAGTCCACCCTTTTGTGTGCACACTCAGTGAACACCTGGCCTCTGTGTAAGGGCACCTGATGACAACCTGATCTCTTATGTAGGGACACCTGATAGCAGCCTGGCATTTGTATGTGGACACTACAACACCTGGCCTTTTGTGTATAGGCACTGTGCTGGTCAAACTCTAGAGCCCTTGAGAGAAGAGACTGAGGCTCAGCTTCCCCAGGAACCTTATCTTCTATTCCGAGTTACTTATTCTGTTTCAGCTTCCTTTACCTCCTGCCAAACTTGTCATTCCTTAATTCATAAGAACAAGAAGGCTGTTTTAGGCTCTGTTTCCAGAGATCCTGACCTGACAAATATATTATACACACACACACACACACACACACACACACACACACGTACTCACTTGTTCCAAAGAAAAGTTAATTGAAACACTTCTACATTGACACTTATTTTATTTCTTCCAAAGTGATTTTTAACTGATACAGTCTTTAAGTTATTTTGAAAGATTTCTAATTTAGAGAGAATTTATATTTACCTCATAGCTGTATCTTTCCGTGTTTAAGTCAAAGAAGGACAGCTGCCCCTTTTCAGTGTTCCCACAGCCCAACCAGAGAGTTGCACTCTTGCTATTGGGAATTGTAGCAACCATGCATTCAACAACAATGTTCTTCGGTATTAAAATGTGCAGCATGAGACAAATTAATTCAGGCGAATTCAAAATGTCAAAGACCTAAGAAAGTTTAAAAACGACAAAAGAGCATTCGTCAAGTTAGCATTTCTTCCTTAATGATCAAATGTGGCCTAAAGCTGTGTCAAGTAAAACCGGTGGTTTTTGTTGAACACTAACTAATCTGGATCCTTAAGTACAGCGGTCCAAATTACATACAAAAGCACATTTAAAAACAAGCAAAAAAAAAAGAGTCTTTGTATACTGTGCACAATATATTCTCATTGTATATGTGCCATGGTATTTTTTTAACATACAGTGTTCAAAAGTGTCAAGAACCAAACTTGTATACTCAATTCTATATGCCAGAGACATCAGTTGGGGAATTAATTGGGAGGGAAAAAGTCAAGCCAGAAACAAAGTAGTACAACTTCTGTCAGCTGAAGGAAGTGAAAGTTCAGTATTTGTTAACAATTGAGAAAACGTCTCTGGAGCCCACATTTAAGTTTTGCATCAAGCACTAGACATTGGGTAACCAGTGAGTGCAATGTAAGCTAACAGAACAATCATTTTCACAGTATTAATTCTACTGATCCAGAAGCATGGGAGATATTCCCATTTTCTGGTGTCTTCTTCCATATCTTCAAGTTTTTATTATATAGGTATCTAACTTGCTTAGTTAGAGTTATTTCAAGATATTTTAGTTTTTGAGGCAATTGTGAAAATTTTCTTGATTTTTTTTTTCTGAGTTTGTCGTTTGTATACAGGAAAGCTTCTGATTCTGTAGATAAATTTTATAATCCTATTATTCAATCAGCTATAGATATTTCCCATTGAAATCCTTAGGGACTTTTATATATAGCATTGTATCATATGCAAATAAGTATACTTTGACTTCTTCTTTAGCTGTTTAAATCTCCTTCTATTTCTGGAATAATTTACAGAGCACTGATATTAGCTCATTTTTGAAAGTCTAGTATAATCCTGCACTGAATCCATCTGATCTTGGACAATTTTTGTTTCAGAAATTTTGAATTGTTATTTCTAATTCACTAGTGGTTACAGGCCTGTTTAAATTGTTCATTTCATATTGATTTAAATACAGTAGGTTGTACATACCAAGAAATACTTTCATTTCTTTTAAGCTTACTACTTTGGTGGAGTACAAATTTTTTAAGTATGTGCTTAGGATTCTCTGAATTTTCACAATGTTTGTTTTAATGCCTCTCTCTTTGTATGTAATTTTTATTAATTTGACATTTTTCTCCATCTTTTGGTTAATTTAGCAAAAATTTGTCAATCTTGTTCATTTTCCCAAAGAAGCAATTCTTCATTGATTCTTAGTATCATTATCTTTGTTTCTAGTTCATTGATTTCAGCCCTGAGTTTGATTATTTCTTTATCTCTGCTCTTTTTAGATATTATTTCTTCCTGTCATTATGTTAGACCCATTAAGTAGATCCATTAAGATGGTTCCTATCAGTTGGGCAGTGGTGGCACATGCATTAATCCCAGCAACTGGTAGTCAGAGGGAGATGGATCTCTGAGAGTTTGAGGCCAGCCTGATCTACAAGAGCTAGTTCCAGAACAGGCTCCAAAGCTACAGAGAAACCCTGCCTCGAAAAATAAAAATGTTTTAAAAAAATGTGGCTTCTGTTTTCTAATACAACCTGTTAATCTGTGTCTTTTTACTGGGAAAATTTAGACTATTAATATTGAGAGCAGTGCTTATTAATCTTCACTGTGATGTTGTGGTATAGCCTCCTAATGCTTCTGGGATTATTCATTCATTGTATTGTCTGGGATGAAGTTAATCTCTTCAGGCTGAATTTTTCTTTTTAGCACCTTCTGTAAATCTGGGTTGTTTAAATTTGTTCTTAATATAAAATGCTTTTTATTTCCCTGTCAATTGTGGTTAATAGTTTTGTGGGTATAGAAGCCTGGGTTGGCATCTTTGATCTTTTAAGGCTTGTAGAATATCTAGTCAGGATCTTCTAACTTTCAGAGTCTCCACTGAGATGTCAAGTATCATTCCAATCAGTTTGACTTAAACTGTGATTTGGCCTTTTTCCTTAAAAACTTTTATATATTTTCTTTGTTCTGTATATTAGGTTTTTTTTTTTTTTACTATTGTGTGTTGCGCAGAGTTTCTTATCCATTCCTGTCTTTTTAGTATTCTGTATGCTTCTAGTACATATCTAGTTTGGAAAAATTGTCTTCTATATCTTTTTAAAAATATTTCTGTGCTTTTGAACTGGGTTTACTTTCCTTCCTCTATCCCTATTATTCATCATTTTGATCTTTTGACAATGTCCAAGATTTCCTGAATGTCTTGTACCTGAATTTTTAAAAATTCAGCAGTTTTTTTTAAAATCTATTGGTAAATCTTATTTCTCGGACTTTTATTTGACATCCTTACTTTTTCATTTCCAGTTTTAATTTAGTTTGGGTTTTCTTTAGATATTTTACTTGTTTGTTGAATTCTATGTTCATTTCTTGAATTATTTTTTATTGTTTCATCTGCTAGTATCTCACAGTGTTCAACGAGATATTTAGTCATGTGTAAGGTCCTTGAACATAGATGTAATTGATATTTTGAAGTCTTTATTTAACACTTCAGCTGAACTGCTTTTTTCAGGGCCTAACACAACAGAGTTGCTGGCCTCTGGAAGAGGCATATTGTTTTAGTTTTCATGTTTGTTTATTTGTCTTTTGTGCTGGGATCTAGGCATCTGGAGTCAGGATGTTTGAGATAATTTTTGCTGTATATATCTTGTCTCATCTTTTTTTTGGGTGAGCGTTCCATTCTTTGGTTACTGTTGCCTAATCTTAGCCTTAACCCACTTCGGTGGCTGTGGGGTACCCAGATTCTAGCCAAGTCTGCTGACTGTGGGTACTTCCTCATAGAGGGCTGCTCTGAAAGTCTGTGAGAAGTCACCAAAGAAGAATTCTGGACTATAAAGAAAGGATGAGCAAGGCAGTTGGAGGAGAATTAAGGGGACCCTGGCACTAAGAAGCAAGCACCAAGGACATGGGGTGGGGTGGGGGGGGGTGCAGCATGTGCCCCTCAGGCAAGCTGCAGCAGGACCTAGCTTAAGTTTGGAGAGATCAGAATGGAAGATAGGAAGGAGGATAAGGCTCCCTGTCTGAATCCCGGGCTAGTGTGGCAGTTTAGGTCCCTGATAGAAGTTCTATGACAAAGAACTGGAGACAGGCTAAAAGAAAAGGCTGACTGGCTTGCTAGGAAGAGCTAGGAAACCCCTGGTTCCTAGGCGAGAGGCCAACTCCCTAGGAGACTGAAGTGAGCTAAGACCTTAACTTAAAAATAAAGTCATAGGTAAATATTTTTTGTAACTTTGTGGGAAAGAATCCCTTAAAATGTGACTTGAAAAGAAACAAATGTTACAAGAAGATGCTAAAGATGTCCTTATTAAAATGGAGGCATTATGGTCATGAAGATACCTTAAGAGAAAAAACAAAGCAAGCCTCATACAGTCAAAAGAAAATTTTACTCAAGAGATACAAGAAAGAATAACATATATGAAAAATGTCTTTCTCCCACACAATTTGTAGGCAGATAAATGAATAGAACAATGGGTTCAACAATGAACAGACATTTCATAAAAGAATACAATATACTATATATATAATATATACATACATGTGTGTAACTGTACATATCAGAAATGATGGATATATATACAAATATGTATACATGTATCTGTATATATCAGCAATGATAGTGGTTCTTGGGATGTTGGGGTTACAGTGTGTACCAGAAAGGAAGAGACTATAGAAATTATACTTTTATAATTAGTATGATATATTAATATATAACATTATATTTAATATATACAACATAACTATTTTAACTATATATATGTTAATTCATGTGTTTGAGTATATATTTGAAGATTATATGCATATGTATGTAAGTGTACACAAATATATAATATTTGATACAAAATACTAAAATTGTTTAACATGAATGTACCTGAGCAGAAGTGGGCCTTTCTTGAGGATTTTCTTTCAAACACTTTTTAATCAACTTCTCAACCATAGGCCATGGGGCACAGCCATATTCTTTAACTGGATCTGAAACATAAAGAAGATCATTCAGGCACACTAAATAAATCAAAAGGTATGTGTTTACTATCAACACAGATGTGTTCGAACAAGGCAGTAGGAACTCTGATCTCCACAATTCTGTATTTACTATGACATAGTCGGTTTTGTTAACTTCACCTTAGTAGAGCTGTCACAAATGAGAGTTTCATGCCTGGTACCCACCAGGTAGGAGGTAGAAAGAAGGGTGATATGAAATTCAGTGCTACACAGCAAGATGAAGGTCCAGTCATGGTTATATGAGATCATCTCATCCTCTCCCCAAAGCAGACAAACAAGAGCTGTCTTGACATTTTATGATATAAAAGGAGATACAAATGCCATGGGTGTAAATAAAATAAAGACCCTTTCATTTGCTGTTTGTACATAAGTAGACTTGGAAACACCTTTACTCATATAATAAATGGCAGGCCTTTTTAGCTCATGTCTCCACAGTTGGTTTGAGTGTGTGCATTTAACTTTTCCTCCAGGAATGCCATTCCTCATGCGGATGCAGCACAGAGACCAGGGCATTCGCACAGGGAAGCTAACAGGTAGGATAAGGTAGATGGCCAAGCAGCATCTGAATTTGGTTAGAAAATAATGTTTCCTTTTTCCAGAGTTCCCAAAGGGCAACCAATTCCATAGCGCCCATTGCAACTCTGAGTGTACACTCAGAAGCTTATCTTGGAGGAGAAGGAAGTATTAGAAACAGCTCATAATTCTGTAGTAGGAGATGAAATAAGATTCAAGAATAGATGACAGGTCATAGAATTTCTTGGAGCCATTCAAAATGAGGTTTCTCTCATTAAATACTCAGTTACCAATTTCATTAATATTTATGGAAAGAAATCATAAATATTTAAAAATTTCTTCATGAATATGAATTATTTTGCTTCAAAGAAATGAGAACATCTCCGACTACCATGAAATCCCACAATCATTATCAGAACTACAGGTCACAAGCCTGATTCTAATGCTAATTTTCCTTTCCCAGGTCCTCCCAACATAGTTCCCAACATACCAACACTCATTCTGGATTTATTTAAGCCTAAAGTAGCTATCATTTTCATGTGACCTTTATCATTTTATCACAAAATTGAAGATTATATTTTCATTAAGCAAAAATCATCAAACTGTGAATGAGAACGCTGGCACTGAGGAAAAAGTCTTCCTTGCAGATAAAACAGAACTTACCTGGCAATTTCCCTTGTATTGCTAATTCATCAAACTCATTTGGAAACCTCAAGCCCTCTATGATTCTACCCCCAGTTGTCCAAATGTCGTAAAGCAGTAAGCCGAAAGAATAAACATCAGCCTGTTGGTTATAAATGACATTTCCTCTGGCAACCTCAGGTGCCCGGAACCCTGAAAAGAAACAGATAGAGCAATAAATATGCCCAACGCCAGTGCCCACACTTGGGCCAGTTGCTAAGAAACGGGCCAAGGGGATGAGCTCTGTGTCAGGCTATGTTGTTGCTGCAGCGAGACACCTGGGAAAAGTCAGGAAGTGGACCTGTCCAGGTGTCATGCCACCCCTGGTCTTCAAGGGCAGATCTTGTGATCTTTACTATAAAATTTTAAAATTCTACTAAGACATCTTAGTCATAAAAGATTATTTTGAAGGATAACATAGGTAAACATTGAATAATAAATTATTAAGTAGAGACTAGCAATCAAAGAATAAAACCTCACAGGGAAACAAAAAGCCTTTATCATTTTTTTCTCTTTGCTTAATACAACTGTTACCAGCAAAGAGATTTATACAGAAAGAGGTGTATGGGGTTAAAGGGTACTTTCTAGGCTCAAAGTCACTTTAACACCTCTTAAATCCAGTGGTTTCATTAATTCCAGAAATGAGGATTCCATTTCACCTTATGAATTTAAAAACTACATTTTTATTTTTTTTAAAAAGGGGCCAGAGCCCAGCAGCAGAGCTTTTTCCAGCTTGCAGGATACAGCAGAACGCAAGAGACCCTGGATTTTATCATTGATACCACAAAATCAATTAATTGGTCTGTTCATTAAGACAAATCAAAGTTTGTTCAGGCCTATGCTGAAAATTCTGTGTGTGTGTGTGTGTGTGTATAAGTGTGTATAAATAAAAAAAAAAAGTATGTATGTATATGTATATATATATATATATATATGTATATAAAAATGTATATGTGTGTATATATATATAAAATATATATGTGAGAGTATATATATATATATATATGTGTATATATATATGTATATATAAAATATATATGTATATGTATATATGAATATATGTGTATGTATATATATGTGTGTTTGTGTGTGTGTGTTTCTTTTCTGCCCTTCCTCTGTCTTTTGGCGCAGGGTCTCTCACTAAGCTTGCTGTTTCAGCTGGGCAGACATGTCAGTCTCCTTCTTTTCCAGTGCTGGGTCTATAGATGCCCCAAACAAAGCATTTTTCTATTGTTATGTTTGAATATGGATTGTCCCTCAAAGTTTTGTAACTTGACAGTCAGGTCCTCAATGCAGCAGTGTTTAGGAATAAATGGACCGGGGGGGGGGGAGCTTCTACCTCAATGGATTAATGTTTTGATGAGTTTATATTAATATATAAATATTAATGTATTTATATTAGAACTGATTGTTGGAAAGTGGTGGAATCTACAGGAGGTAAGGCATCAGTGGAAGAAATCAGTCACTCAGTGTTTATCCTGCCTCCAACCTCTCTTATTCCCACCATCACTCCCAACCCCACTGCTTCCTGGCTGCCAAGAGGCAAGCAGCCTCCTCTGACTGTTAAGCCTTTTGTTTAACTTCAGCCCAAATCAGTGGAGTCAGTGAAACTTCCACCACTGGAAGACAAAGAACTTCCTCCTGGATATAGATTTTCTAAGAAATTTTACTACAATGAGCAAATGCTAGCTTCTGTATCTATCTGTGTAACCATAACAGCATAGTCACACCCTAAGTCAAACAAATGGGATGCAATTCGGCATCCTAAACACATACTAATAAGGTCTGCATACTATGATATAATGTTAACGAAATCGCAGTAGCTCTAATGCAAATCCTTCAATTACATGTTGCAGATACTCTCTGGAACACTTCATTTGACTGTGCATGGATCATCAGTAGACAGACTTTCCAAACAGCACACACCTGGAAAATCGATACACTCCATTCTTCTTTCATTAAGTTTACTTTATTAATTTGTGTTGTGGGGTGGGGGAGGGCATACGCATACCATGGTATGCACGAGGAAGTCAGAGAATGACTCATACTTCTCTGTTTCCACCCTATGACTTTCAGGAATCAAACCCAGGCCTTCAGGCTTAGTGGCAAGGACCTGAACCCACCGAGCCCTCTCACAGGCCCCTGCACCATATGCTTTCTTAAACCCACAGATACAAAGTCAAGGGTACTCAAAATCACAAGCTACCTACATAGCTCATACACTAACACACTTACAAACTGAGAATTTAAAAGAAATTTGGGTGGCTCTTTTCAATGTTTTCCAATTGTCACTATTCACTCGGTCCACTAATTGGATATCTATTATATCAAGCTTCCATCTGGATTATTTAATTTTCTGTGTATTTATTTCCTTGGTAAATTCACTATTATAACTTCCAACCATAGGATCATAAAGAGGACACTATTGAGACACTATTGAGGCTCATCTTTAAACTCTCATCAAGTGTGCATCAATGTAGCTAGAGTTGCTCAGAACTTTGGAATATTTTTAAACAAATATTGAAAGAGATAATCAAGCAAAGGATAGGGGTATTTTTAGAGTGTTGCCATAGAATTTATAAAATCTTAGGATTGTTCTTCAGTATTGTGCACAGCTGTAACTCCAGCACTGGGGTACAAGCAGGAGGATTAGAAGTTCAAGGCAACCTTCAGCTGCACATAGAGTTCCAGTCCAGTCTGGGCTACATGATATGAAAGCTTCTCTCAACAAAGAAAGAAGAAAGACAAAGAGGGAGGGGGAATGAGGGATATACTGAGGGGTGGAAAAGGGGAGAAATGAATGAAAAGAAAACCATGAATATAAAAGAATAAAATAAATGAATATTTATGAAAATGCTTTTCAGTTTTCATTCCAGAATCAATATCTTAGGCACACGGTCAGAGTATAGCAACATATATGTCTATTTAGGGGGTACCTAAGCTATGACACTGTTGAAATATTTCTTGAAAATCCCCAGTGGGTTTCTAGTGACCTTGCAAAGTCATCTAAGTTGAACCTTGTCTCTTCCGTTTGATGGTGAATAACTAGAGAACATTTAATTTGCCTGAAGACAGTTTTATTTGTATAGATGTTGACAGACTTGAAGCCATCAATCACCATTCACTTCAGTCAATTCTGCAACTGTCACAGAACACAGAACCAATTGTCCCCCTCAACAGGAAATCCACGGTGGAGTTAAGGGTGGAACGCTACCATATTTACTCTTCCCAAAGTAGACAGTGTCACATGGCAACATCACTGTCAGTAAGCAAGCTGTTTCTCTCTTTGAGCTTGTGCTGAACTCGCGTTGGACTGGGGAAGTTCTCAGTCTTAGGCTGCCTGAGTTTGCATCTGCTCTGCACTGTGGTCCTTGTCAACGTCCCATCGGCTCTCACTACCTGGTTTGTAGATGAGGAGTAGCAGTAGGTCTTATATGGGGTCATTCTTGCAAATGGTTAAGCATGAACCTTACTCATTGCTCAGGCACTGAAAAGATCTGAACTTCTCAATGTCCTGTAGAGACAGAGTTATCTTGCATACATGAACACCCAGGGTGAAGATAGTCCATTCAGGGTTAATATAAAATGCATACACACTTACAAAATGTTGCATTTATACATTTTTTCTATTACTGGACATTTCTATATTAAAAGGTCTACTCTGAATGGGTGGATTCAACAAAAGAAAAAACACAGATCAAATCCTGTGAGATGGAACTCATTTCTTCCCAGAGAACATTGCTTTGGGGAAGGAAAGGTCAGGTGTTAGCAGCAATTGTGGTGACATATGCTGTCTTTTCAAATTTCGACCAGAGTTTAGGACAGGGATCATTAGAAGTGCTTTGGTGATAATAAGGTGATGATAATTGTAATAAAAATAATAATAGACAGAAGCTTTGGGGTACGGCAAGCTATAGACCTGCGTCATGTGAGAGACCTGGGAGAGCGGTGGGCAGCAGAGAACAGATGAGATTGGTTTCTTTTGTTGATTTTCCTCCATTTTTATGTCACTAAAAGTCAACATTAGGGCTTATACGACTCCAGAATAAGTAGTTTCCACAATACAAAGAGTCAGGTGGCAATAAAATTTTAGGCTTGTTTTGATGAAAACCAGAATAAAAAATTAAAAAGCTCCAAGTGTTAAGCAAGCTGAACTGCCATTGGCTGTTGACTGGTCTAGCCCAGTAGCTGGTAGGTGGGACAGTGGAACTCAAGTCCAGGAACACTTGATAGAACCTAGAGAGAACCACTGTCCCCTAAGCCACAAAGCTTCAGTGACAAATGTCCACTCAGGAGTAAAAAAAAAAGAAAGAACTGTAAGGCCTAGCTAAGGGGGCCAGTCCACCTGGACATTATATGAGATGTGAGGTTCCAAAGGGACCCAGTACAAGTCTCAGTTTCTGTGGCTCCTCCCAGCACTTCTCATCCCTCTCTCTTCCCTAAACCTCTCCAGCCCAGGGTATGGGCTCCACTCCCCAGCCTTCAGCCTCTGATCCTATGTAACTGAGCCATTTTGAATACCATTCTCTTGATTCTCATGTGCTTTCTTGGTCCTCTTGGGCCCCTGTCTCCTGTTCCTTCATTCTTTTCTTCCTCCCTCATTCTTTCCCCCTTTCTCTTCTCACAGCCAGGTTTTTCTCTGGCCATGTTCAGTCTTGACTAGTCAAGATACCTCTAGCTGTTTTCTCCCTCATATCTACAATCAAACCCTTCTCTTCAACCAGAAATATAACCAGTCATGTCCTCATTTTGTTTCATCTCCCAGGTCTCTTTGGGACCTCTCATGAGAGGAATGAAATCTGCCTATAGAAAGTCACTGCTTATGTTCATTTATCCTAGACAGAAATATTATTTTTCCAAGCCTTCAATGAACAATATTTGGTGTGCACCATTCTGCTATTTTTCCTTTTCTGCTTCAGAAGCTAAGATTGAAGAGTGAAGCCTTCTCAAGCTTACATTATCACAGTATGTGGTCAAGGAGACAGCTGAAGAATCCAAAGTCAGATTCTTTATATTTCACTGACTTGACTGATTACCATCTTGGCTGCTTACTGAGATTAAAAACCTTACTCAGTCTTAATGTTCCCATTTATAAAAATGAAAACAATAGCAAACTTACAGACTCAGTATAAAGGGAAGAAATGTGTCCCTGATGTACCTGACATGGAGTCTGGCACACAGCAAGCACTAAAGAACAGTAACAATTTCTATTGTGATTGAAGAGCCCAGAGGCACTCTGACGCAATGTGTATCCTGACATGCTTGGGAGAATGCAAACCTACTTGCAAATACAGGCTACCAATAAAAGCAAAAGCATGTATTTTAAGCAAAAAGACGACAAACATTGGATATAAAGAAATCCAGCTTTCAAAAGGGCAATGGCATTAAATACCTTCTCCCTTTAGCTCAGTTTTTGGCTTAGAAAATTACAAGTTGATTTCTTTGTTGCTGCTGTAGAAAATAGGATGATGAAAATGGTGGTGCAATGACCATTCCTATTCAGACAATAGATATCTGCTCACACTGTGACAGGTTACCTATGCTTTGACTCTCCCACACCAGCATCTGAGGACATCGGTTATGCAGCACAAAAAGTGAACCCAATCACTTACCGGGGGTGCCCTCTGAGGTCTTTATTCCCATTCTACAGCAGTACTGTGCAATCCCGTAGTCGGCAATCTTGGCAATGATGGCAGCGTTGGGATAGAGGGTGAAAAGCAACACATTGTGGGGTTTCAGGTCACGGTAAATGATCATGGCTGAGTGGAGATATCTGCCAAAAAACACGCAAGAAGTCTTACTTCTCACTACTAATTTCCTCATAATTTTTTCAATGTTATGTTCATTAGGCAAAGCATCAGAAACACTGTGTTAACTTTGTCCTTGAAAACTGAAAGATATACTGCAAACAGACTTGAAGCATAAAGATTAAATATGAAAAAGCAAGGTGATGCTTCTTCCTGAAAACTGCAACACCAAGCCTGGCAGACGACGAGAGGTTTCCCACATAGCCATGCACAGAGCAGATACTGGACACTTTCTCTTTGTACCTGTACAACTACAGGAATTCTGAATTCCCTCACCAATCAAAGGCAATTTTCAACTTAATTTTAAAATTGCAATTTGTTAACTGTTCTGGTGATGCCTATAATCTCAGCATTTACAGACAGAAGCAAGAGGCCTTGACGCTCAAGGCCAGTTGGGCCTGCCCAAAAGATAGAAACAAATGGGTTAAATAAGAGTTAGTGCAGTTTTGCTATATGCTTAATTTTTTATAACTTTCATTTATTCATTTTTCATTCAAAGAAACTGTTTCTTTAACTTTTAAATTTATATAGCTTATCTTTGTTATTTACTTTCTTCCAGTTTCTTTTCTTCCTACTGTTTTTAAGAACATTTTCTTCTTTTCAATAAGAGCAAATCAAATTGTAAACTTTTCCCTAGCTATTATCTCCAACTCTGAGGATACAAGCCACTACAAAGCTAATTTATTATGAGTAAAAGTTAACGAAGAGTATCTGGACAGAGAGGGTGGCGAGAACTGTCTTTGGTGGTACAATATCTAGGTGTGAAATGGACTCAAAATGTACTTGGATTTGAACATTTTGAGCAAAGAATAAAAATCCCTTAGTATAAAATACACTGTTTTAATCTCAGCCAAATATTATCTGTTTTGCAAACACAGTGGCGGAACTCACAGTTTCCAAAATACTAAGGTAACTATTAATGCCTCTCATTAGAGCTCTTTAAATTTCTGATTTTCCTGTCCGCTGACCTCACAGGTATATTGTGACCTTTTCTGAATGGAAATTTCATAAGACTTAATGGGGGATTTGTTAAAATCGTTTGTTTACTTATGGTTTGGAACTTGGTAAAGGTTATATTAAGAAATATTTACCCAATTACCTCCTACTAATCATCGCTAAGGCATTAGGAAGAGAGAGGCTGTGACATCTGGGACTCCCTGCTTGGTAATGGCCTAGAGAGAGTGAGTCATTTGACTTTATCAACTACTGGGCTCATTCTCTCTTCCAGGATGTGCATAGGTCATGACATTGGGTCTGTTCATTTCAGGATATAACATAAACTCACTAATGAAGTTGACCTTAAGAATAGTCGTTATCGTAAAAGGAAAATTTACCAAGGACTTACTCAAAGTCCATTAGCTGTTCTTGAGAAAAGCCAGGGGATTAAGAATTTAAAAGTTAAATATACATCACCAAACCGCCGTAAGACATCCCACTCTAGGTTACAGGCTCCCTAAGAATACATTTTTGGGACTAAAATACAGTTTATTTAAAATTATGTCATTTGGGAATCAAGGTTATCTGGTTTAGTTAGAATATTTAATTATAGAATTTAATCTCAAGAGTGCTATTGTAATACCCTGTAAAAGAAAAATAAGCTTTTAAAATTGTAATAAGCACAAATTATTTCTCAGTAACAATAATTCATACAAATTAATTGAACCATTGTATGTGAATAAGTATTGCCAAGTATTTTATTAACAGAAACTATACCCATTTTCTCTTTAATCATTATTATTATAATAATTTCTAAGAATCCCCTATCTCTATAATTTAAAGTTAACTTTATCTTATCCTGAATATATTATTCTAAAAATAGAATGCATTCATTCCTTTAGCAAATATGCATTAGGTACCTATCTATGGGAGTCACTCATTAGTGGACACAAAGCCATCTTTGTACTTTTGCTTTAAGAGGACCACAATCTAGGAAAGATGGGTGCTTGGCGACAGTAAGATGGCAGAAGTGTATGAGTAGTCAAACGCTGAGGAGGCAGCCAGGGAGAAAGCACACGGGTGCAGGCAACCCAGGCTTGTCATCCACACAGAGCGGTCCACCTCAGACACACGATAATCTCAGCCTGTCCTTCTCCAGTGCCGGATTCAAAGTCATACATGGAGCAAGTGCATAAAAGCAAAGGTGAATTAAGGATACTAAGGCTGGAAAATGAAGACTTCAGGACCAGCCCGGCTACAACATGATCATTTGAGTAATAAAAAGAGCATCAAATGAGCAAATACAAATTCATGGAAGACTCACTCTCCAGGAAGAAGTTGAGCTTCATGGCAGAGAAGGCAGGCCAGCCAATTCTTGGAAAAATGAGGTCTCCAGAAGGGAACTTTATTAGAAAGGTAAACACACTGAAGTCAGCCTGGTTAGGATGCAGGCTAGAAAGATGGCACAGAGTTAAGTTGCAAAGGGAAGCAAGGGGCACACATAAAGAGCTTCCATGCTATGCCATTACAGACGTGAGATGTACCTTGTAAGTAACTGGAAATACCAGGAATCTCAAATACAATTAGATTTTTATTTCAGGGGAAATATCCTGATAATCCCTATAGATACTGGATCAAAGTAGAAGTAATGGCATAAAAATAATCATAAGAATATAAGATAAAATAGATTCAAAGATCTCAGGAAGGGACACTAACTATAGGTGGAGTGGTACGTAGTCTTTCTGTGACTGTTCTGACAAATGGGGATACAGGAGAAAGCACATGCTTGTGGTGAGAGGAGATAGCAAGGAGAACAAATCCAAGTTTGAACAGATGGGAACACAGGAAGTTGTAGAGACTATATGAGAATTCTGAGGAAGAGATGAAAGGGAGGAGCTGAATTAAAGCAAGGTCTTGATGAAAAGATTCATAACATGAAGGAATTTCTTATGTGTCATTCTAAATAGCTATATCAACTAAAAAATCCTAAACAAATAGGATTTTACTTGTTTCTACAGTTATAGCCATATGTTAACAATGATTAGAAATAACAATTTTTAATAAATACGTGTTTGTGTTTTCTTTTATTGAAAAGGGATTTTTTTTCATGCTTTTTAACATTGAGTCTTAAAATTACATTTAGTGCCACAAGGACATGTGCTCAACTATGTTCATAGCAGCATTGTTTGTCATAGCGAGAACCTGAAAACAACCTAAATGCCCCTAGACTGAAAAAATGGATAAGGAAAATGTGTTACATTTACACAATGGAGTACTACAGAGCAGAAAAAAAAAAATAACAACATGTTGAATTTTGCAGGCAAATGGATGGAGCTAGAAAACATCATTTTGAGTGAGGTAACCCCCTGAACCCAGAAAGACAATTATCACATGTACTCACTCATAAGTGGTTTTTAAACATAGTAAAGAAAACCAGCTCACAAATCCCAATCCCAGAGAACCTAGACAACAATGAGGACACTAAGAGAGACATACAGGGATCTAATCTACATGAAAAGTAGGAAAAGACAAGATCTACTGAGTAAATTGTGAACATGGGAACCTTGGAAGATAGAACTAGGGGTAGAAGAGGAGGGGGGGGCAGGAAAAAAAAAAAAAAAAAAAAAAAAAAAAAAAAAAAAACAGGAAAAAAAATACATTTAATACCCGCCAGCCTCCAGTGGCACCGGATCTAGAGTTCTATCCTAACTTCAGACTAAGAACAAATGTTGGAAAGAATTGAAACATTTGCTCAACTTCCATTTGCTTCATAAAAACATGGGATTCGTTATTTGAAATAAAGGCCAGAGAACTGAGGCCGTGGTGTTGTAGACCCGCAACCTAAGTGTTAACTGAAAACAGCAGGTCCTCAGTTTATAAATTAACACTTCAGGATTACACGGAAAAAAATGAGAAAAATCTGGGACCCAAGATCAGTTTAATCAAGAAAATGAATGCTGTGGGTTTATAATACAGGAATATAAAGGGCCCTTTACTGTGCTCAGTTTAGCATGAGGCTCCCCCTGGTGTTCAAAGGCAGACATACCAACCCAAATCCAAATGCCTGCATGCTGGTAAATTCCAAAATCTGCATGACTTTAAGTAGTTCCTGAAGAGATAATCCCCCATTCCTTCCTGCCCATAAGCTTTCCCAATGCTGTCCAAAAGGGCTATTCCTAGGCTTGCAGAGCAGGGGCAAATTTGCATCTACTGTCTGGGAAAATGGTGGTAGGTTTGAGTGCAGTGTCCCCCCTCCCCATGCCTCCCCTCCCCACTGCCAACCTGTATTTCCTAAGAACTCCATGTTCTGAAGACTAGAAGGGGATTTAGGTAAAGGGACAAGCCCACATAAAATGACACCCCAAAAGAATACCCAGGAGTTAGACTATGTTGGCTAGCCAGACAGTGGGTATAGAGCCAAGGCACATTCAGAAACCCCACGAAGGCGGGTGGCTGAGCACAACTACCAGGAAAAGAGGGAGGAGAAGGCCCACAGTAGGAGAAAGACCTGACTCAATGTCTACGCTCTTCACAAGCTATTTGGTGGTACATAGGCAGTACAGGGGAGACGGAAAAGGATAGGGACTTAAAGAGACCAAGGAAGAGAACTGTGAGAGTGTGTAGATATGAAGCTGGAAATATTTATGCAATGATTAGGAAAGAGGTCAAAAGGATGGAAGGAACAAAGGATGGCTTCTAGGCCAAACTAAATCAAAGTGCAAAACCACAGGAAAGCTATCAGGAATAGAATTTGAAAGCCTACAATTACCTCAAAAGTCTTCAGTATTATTCATAGTTTGCAGGCTAAAATGTGAGTAGAAAGCTAAAAAATTATATCTAAGTATATGCCCCAGTGATTTACCAAGGACTTTTGTCTTCAGCGAGGACCTGTCTACTCTGGTGTGCTGCATCCAACCCGGGGTAGGCCGAGACTCTGCGTCACATGATGTTTCCATGTGGAATGCAACATTTGTCCCTCTGACTTGCTTCAGGAATATGGACTAATTTTTCATCATTAAAATTTCTCCGCTTCATTCCTTCCTTGATGTCTGGTAGCCTAATGTACTTATCTTTCAGAGATGTAGACACCTCAGGTTCAGATCATGAGTTCAAGAGCGTGCATATTAGGTTTAAGTGCTACTACGCCAGCTATGAAGTTCTGTGCTCTTCCATCACATTCTAAAGTTTGTAAAACTGGATCACGGAACAGATAGTTTTCATCAAACCTGTTAGCACAGTGCAACAAGGGAGGGGTGGTCTCAGAGCCTGGGAGTGAACTCGAGGTTACACTACTCAGACATCAACGAGAAAACAGCGGTAGCCCCTTACCTCAGGCCATCGGCCACATGCAAGGCAATCCTGTGCTGGAGGGTTCTGGTGAGACTGCCTTTGTCCTGCTGCAGCAAGCGATCCAAGGAACCCTTGGAGGCCAGTTCCATCACCAACATCCGAGGACGAATCCCAGCTGCCAGCAAAGATATCAGGCTTGGGTGGTGGAGGTGGCAAAGGACCACCAACTCCTGCAAGGGTTAGGAGTCCTGTGAGTCTCGCATCACCAAGGATCCGGCACATGCACTCTTGTAGTTGTTCAACTCCTTAACTAGCTTTCCACGGGGGGACTGGGTTGTTGCAAAAGCTCCCTTGTTCTCTAAGCTTTTAAAAAGAAATCCTAACCATTTCCCCAAAAAAGATAATTTTGAACTACTATTTTTCCTTTTGATCTGCTTTTGTGAGACCAAGTAATGAGAGAATGGAAGGAATAGGTAGTCTTCCTAATAGGCAAGGTTATCCTAGTCCCTAAATTATAGACACAGAATCTTTTTCAGCCCTAGACTCAGAGAAGAGAACAGTAGTTGAGCCAACTGTAACTGACAGAAGGGATAACCTGTAGCCTCTGGGTTCAAAACCACAGTTTGCTAAGGACACATAGTCAAGTCCACAGGAGTAGATGATGTCCCCTCCCTGAAAACTCTAATGCTTTCCGATGCTATTTCCTCTCAGGCCAGAGCTCTGCCTATGCTAAAACCCATTGGCCTTGAGATACCCACACCCTTCACAGGGCTAAAAGCCTCTTCACAATCAGATATTAACCAAACACTACCACTTCCTTAAGTGTCCCGCCTTGACCCATCTTCCTAAAGCCATTCCCAGCTGCAACAAGAAGCAGAGATGCTACCATTGTTTTTGGCAGTCCTTCCTCTAGATCCCACCTTGAGCAGCTCAACACTCTCCTAAATGACATCACTGTGTATGACATCCGTATTCACCTGTATTCTGGATATGCACATTCACTCCGAAAGTGTAGTTTAGTTGAGGCTTATTCTTCCTACACACACACATCCCTCTAGACCACTTATATGTTATAGGGAATTACTTTCCAGTTTCTTAAGGTGGTATTTCTGAATTCCATTGCTCTCCCCTCCTTCTAGCCTTTATTCTGACACCATACTTTAATTGAACTTTTCATCTTCTGTGACGTTAAGCTGACTAGGGTCTTATGTGTGATAACGGAAGCCCTGCTTCCTAACACCAAGGCTTCCAAACTGTGGAGTGCCAGTGCTAACTTGACTGTCTGCAGAATTCTGAAAGCTAACACAGAGTAGCTGGCTATCCCAAGGGAGAGAAGGCTTTTCTAGAACAAAGCTTAATATTGCAGTCATATTTGCTCAGGAGAGAAAAGTCTTTTCACACCGTGTCTGGTTAGCTCAGTTTGTTAACCCTGAAGTAAGTAAGCGCCATTCCTTCTGTTTACCCTCAGTCAGAAGACTAAGCCAGATGTTTTATATTGGAAAAGCGTTTTGACAGCAAATTACCTTGGCATTGAAAGAGATTTGCTAGATTTAGTTCAAAGTCTAGCTTCAGTTTAAAGAATGTTACATTTCATTTCTGTAACTACAATGTGACTTTTGATATTATCAATACAAAATTTCTCAACCTACTTTATATGATTTTTTTTCATAATTCAAACTAAAATTTTGTACTATAATATTTAAAGTATCCCATACTTATTTAGATTCAGGTCACAAGTGATATTATTTTTCACAAGTTAAGAAAAACTGTGAGGATAAATTCCAAATAAGAGTTTTATGAAATGATAGCAAAAGTAATACTGAGTTTCCTTTTCTTCCAGTCCTGTCTTTCCTTATTTCAAATGTGAGCAGAAAGGCAAGAAGAGGGGAGTAACTCCAACCAGCACCCAAACAAGAACTAGAGCAACTTCTGCTGGCTCTGTATCTCCTTTTCTTCCTTCTAAGAGTATCTGAGTTTTTACTGAGGTACATAATTTTCACCTAGGCAGCTCAGTCCTAGCTACACTATAAAGTGATAGGACTAGTCTAAGCAATATAACCCTTATTGGCACATTGATTCTGTGACACAGCTCTCTACCAACGTGTACACAGCATTACCCAGAACAAAAGTGTTTGACAAGGAAAGAGCAGCAATTTAGTTAAGGCCAAAAGCTGTTCTTTGTTACTCACTGGGCTATTGTGTAGGCGCGGTTTTTGACTGTTTTGAGACACAAGACTTCATGGGTCTAATTCCCCATGTCTGTGAAATGTACCTGCCCAGGCTAGAACTAGCCCATCGCACTAAAAAAGACCATCTTGCAAAAACCCTTCCCCTGGTTTTACCTCAAACTTAAGTACTAAAGTTAGAGGAGTATCAAAATACTCTTTTCTTTTTCATTTAGCAGAAAAAAATGTTTTAGCTCTATAAAGAAGGAAGAAGTGGGAATGTAAACTTTTGAGGATCCTTGTTTTAGACTTTGACAAACATATGAAAAATAGGGATTTCCTGGAGAAAAAGAAAATGTCATATGAGTTAATATAATAACATCCTGGGATTTCTTACTTGTCTTAACAGCCTAAGGGATGTATGTTTATTAAAAATCTTCACAGCCACTTCCTCCCCTTCGTAGGCAGCTCGATAAACTGATCCAAAACTTCCATCACCTTTTGAGAAGGAAACAGGAAACATTTACTCTTTTCAAGAAGAGAAACCAAATCTGTTCTATGTGCCACAATTGAACCTGTTGTATAGTCATAAAAACCTGACCCCCTTGTTTATAGAATCAATCTCATTGGATGCTTCCTCTCCCTTTGTAGTCAATAGGCCACAGTGAAGTTCACCCATGGATCTGACTCTCAGCTTTATATGATCTACAGTGTTACCAGTCCTCAGACCTTGTCTCTTCATATGAGGATACAGATTGCATACTCTCCACAACAGCCACAAGCCCTATCCTATGTGCTTTTCCAAATCTCAACCACAGCCCACTGAAAACCATGCTGCTACTTTTTGCCTGCAACTCATCTTTAGTCCACTTTCTTTACATCCGATAAAATTAAAATGAGATGTTTTCAATATCACTCTGAAGGTTAAAATAAAATCCTAAGAGGGTGAGAGAAAAAAAAAAAAAACATGTTTGAAAGACAGGTCAACATTTTAGGCGGGTGTAGAGGTTTCTTGTTTTGTAAAGTCCTTTCCTGTTCGAGAATCACTGTCATAGAAATGTGAAGTCTAAACTGTCATACACCATGTGTGTCCAACAAAATACAACATTGAGGACTGCTATTGTGTATTTATGGTATCTAGGAAGGAAAGAAAATTGAAAGCAAGAACTCTCCTCTAGTCCCCACACCAAACCAAACCACTGAAGTACCTACCCATTTATGCTGGTTTTCCAGAAGAATAATCTTTCAGAGACAAAATGTACCCAATGCTTCTAACCCACAAAAGTCTACAGAAATACATCAAAACCATATTTACAAAATGAGTTTATCTATACATATTAATGTATATCCTGTACTTGCTCTGCTGATTGGCTTTTTTTTTTTTTTTTTTTTTTTT